CTTTAGGAGTGGGCTGCGTCACTTCCTGCAGGAACTTCATAATATTTCTTCTAAAATAATCAATGATGGATTTAAAAAAAAAGAAAAAATAAATAAACTAAAATAAGATTAAAAAAATAGTCAATGAAAAAATAGTTTTAAGTGTAAATCCACTTTGGCCTAGGATGTTCAGACTGTGATCAGTCAGGTTCAAATAAGTCTTTGTCATGTTTAAAGAACTTTCTACAACAGCTAAATACAAGAAACCCTACTAACTTCTTTTGAGTTGTTGCTTGTTTGCAAAGTTCGTAAAGATTTTAGACTATACGAAAATGTCTGATTTAAAGCCCCCTTCATTGCTGTCTAGCAATAAACTGGATATGAGCTGTGTAGTTGCAGTAAATGACAGTAACTTTGCTGTTATTCAGTCTTCTTACCTGCAGCAGGAMGAGGTCATTAATCATGTTCGGTGTCAGTCGGAGCAATAAAAGCAGGACGAGCATCTAGTTAAACAGACACGCATTCCATGGATTTACCATCAAAACATCACACAGATTTATTAGTAACCATTTTTATTCCTGGCTCTTCCTCCTCCRCTGCAGCCTCTCCCCTCATTTACACGTTTGACATTGAGGTCCTTTTCCAGGCCAGCTCCAACACCAGTGCAAAAACACACTTTAAACTTTTTATTGCGATCGATAACCAGAACAGAGGTCGAGACAACAGCATCTAAAAGATAAATGTTGCAAATGTTTTCCAGAGTGATGATTGCTCCCTCTGTCYCCTCCTTCCTCCCCACAGAGCCCCACTTCATCTCAGCCTACGACGTCGGTCTCTTCACCTTCTTCTTCCTGCGAGAGAACGCCGTGGAGCACGACTGTGGCAAGACGGTGTACTCGCGCGTGGCCCGGGTCTGTAAGAACGACATCGGCGGGCGCTTTCTGCTGGAGGACACCTGGACAACGTTCATGAAGGCGAGGCTGAACTGCTCCCGTTCCGGAGAGATCCCCTTCCACTACAACGAGCTGCAGAGCACCTTCTACCTGCCTGAGCAGGACCTCATCTACGGCATCTTCACAACCAATGTGTAAGTGGACGCCAAGCATGACGTCGTGGCTGTTAGCTTTCAGCAGCTTCTGTAGATTCTGCTGTGATTTACCTGCTAAATGCGGGAAAAGGTTGGAATTAAACCTTCAGACCAGGCCAGGCCAACCAGTCGATCGCGATCGACCGATCGATCTTTAGCTGGTTAGCAGTAGCTCACGGAACAKTTGAACACGGAGCRTYTAGAACGCAACAAGCCGGAARGCCCGCGTGCCYTTTTAAGTTTCGTTTTGTTATTTTCCATTTCTCAGCCACCTACCTCCGTGTTCAATGCATGAATATGGCCGTCTAGGCCCGCCTCTTTTGATTGACANTTTCGTTTTGTTATTTTCCATTTCTCAGCCACCTACCTCCGTGTTCAATGCATGAATATGGCCGTCTAGGCCCGCCTCTTTTGATTGACATATCATTTGACCAACTGGGTTCATCTATCGGCGCTCCAGAGCCAATAATCTGTGAGAAGTGACCAACTTCCTGTTTCCGTCTAGATCGACTATAGAATTGGCCAATCAGCTCCGAGCTTTGTTCTGATGCCACAGCTGTGTGGCCAATCACCGTACCTTTCATTTGGTAGTTTGACTGGGGTGGGAACTTTGTTTAACCAATCACAGGCCAAAGACGGAGATGGTTGTCATTTGTAGGCGGATAGCTCCATCTAGTGGACAAACAAAGCTACGCTCACAGGAAAACGTTGTTTTCCATCATTTTTTGTCCAGTTAGCTGACTAAACCTGCTGATAAAATTAAAATATATTTGTTATTAAGTGTTTCGAGTGTTTCAAGACATGGAAGAGTGATTTTTGTGGCCAGGAGAAGTAAAAAATGTTCGGATAAAAACCCTTACGGTCGGCCATTTTGAATCGCTAATTTCGTCATATTTGAGGACAAATATGCATCAAATGTGAGTGAAAACAAATATTTTTTTGCTGCTGTGGATTTATAAGCTGTGTGGAATGTTAATGACTTGAAAAAAATAAGGATTGTTCATTGCTGTGAGTAAATATGGATGGCAGAATGTGTTTTGCGTTGGTTTTATCTTTAATTTGAGCCCAGAGTGAAGTCCCTGTGTTGAAGCATTTAGAAATTACAGCGTTTTAGACAAAGTGTAAATTAAATAAAACTAGCAACACATTACGTTCTGTTTTATTTACTTTAAAGAAGTTGAGGAGTAGGGAGACGAAAAATTATGTTTTTTGATACTGAGACTGGGCGAGTAGATCTCGGCAAACTGCCGACTTCAAAAGTAGCTCTTGGTTCAAAAAAGGTTGAGTACCCCTGGTTTAGCTGTTACCCCGGACATCTTTGGATCKTGAAAAAGTGCAGTTATGGATCTATGATGCAGTGATTTTCATTCTTTGTCCCGTGACACCKGTCCAGCATAAGGAAATGTCAGTTTGTTGTGGAACTGGGCCTAAAATATTTATTTTCTCTAGTTAGTAAATAAGTAGATAGCAACTGTTGTACGTCTGACTTTGCACCGTAGGGACAAGATTAATAATGACTCTGTCCTGCCAGTGGGGGGCAGTAGGTTGCAGAACAATAACCTTTTGTTCACCAAGGACAGTGGTGGGCAGCGCTAACTCAAAAATTAGCTCTGCAATTTCTAAAGCGTTTATAAAAATATTTAGGTCCGCAACTTCAAAACCGCTTATGCCGTGGAAAAACTAGCGGAATCTAATTTTAAAGCACAAATTCAATTTGACACTTAATAACTGACAATTCATGTACAACATGTGCACAACACTGCCAACTAGTGGTGTATGAACCCTTTTACAACTTATTCCTACAACTGCCGATTGCTGGGGATGTGATTTCATGAAACAGGCCTTTGGCTTCTGGTGTAAAAAWTAAAAAGTTGTTGAGGATTGCTAGTTCGGCTGCTTCTTTGTCTTTTTCTTTTGTTTGTTGTAGATTTTTCATTAAAGAAGGAAGCATCAATAAAGTAATTTTAAAACTGTTTATTGGAAAACTGAAGCGATGCATTCTGGGTACATGACGGACTGACGGGAAACGAAAGCACAGGGAACAGGAAACTAGTATCTTCCTTTCAAAATAAGAGCTTGGATTTTAAGGTTTTTCATGTTTCCATTGGATTTTAAAGTTTTCCAGTTCACCTGAAACTCATCAGACTGAAGAAGTCTCTTGGAGGAGAGACGAAACGTTTCATTAAAGAAGAACCATCCAGAGGACCTACTTATTTTTCTTTTTGTTTTTTGTTTTTCCTACCTGGATCAGGACGTTTTCATGTAGTTGCTCCAGCTGACCACTAGATGTCAGTCTTCACCAGCAAATCATTTCAGAGTCTCTAATACCATTGGCCGATTGCTTTTGAGCTCCAGCTTTTAAAATTTTTTTAAGGAGCTCCGATTGTAAAGTAAAATAAATCAATACATACAAAATTTTAG